CATATGTTAGAGGTTTGATAATAGATTATATAAGAAGAAAGAACATTAGGAAAAGGCAAGCCACTAAGATCTTGGAAGATGAGTATAAAAGACTAGAAAAAGAATTACAGAAAATGCCACAGAAAAAGGAAATTAAATTGAAGTTGGATATAACTAAACATAAAATGGAATTAATAGAGAAAGAAGAATTGGCGCAGAAAATTAGAAATGCTAAACAGAATTATTTTGAAGATGCAAACAAACCAGGTAGATGGCTAGCATATAAATTGAGAAAAGAGAAAGAATCAAGAAAAATATTGAAGTTAATAGATGATCAAGGCCAAGTTTGTTATGGTAACAAGGAGAAAAAGGAAATTGTTCGAGATTTTTATGGGCAACTATATAAACAAGAGAATATTGATGAAGAAAAAGTTAAACAGTATTTACAGAATGCTAACCTACCGAAGATGCCTAAAGAGATTGAAGAAATGCTAGAAAGCAACATAACAATGATGGAATTAACTGAAGCACTTAAGAAACAAAATAATGGGAAAGCACCAGGTCCAGATGGGCTTCCGGCAGAATTTTATAAAACATTTCAAGAATCATTGAGCATTCCATTGCTTGAAGTTATGAATGAAGCTATGACAAAGAAGATGATACCTAAAACATGGTCAGAGGCTTATATTACACTTATTCCAAAAGAAGAGGCTGATCCACTGCAAATTAAGAACTATAGACCTATTTCTCTATTAAATGCAGACTATAAAATTTTTGCTTCAATTTTAGCAGAAAGACTTAAAAAATATTTCTTTTGCCTATGTTATTTGACATTATATCTATAAAGTGTTTTTTAGGATAGATTTGGTATGATTATATGATTTGTTATAGAATAAACTGTTTAAAGTATTGTTATCTCATAAAGCATGAATGATTAAAAGTATAGTCAAATGATTTATTAATAGTGATATTAGGATATATAAGTTTGGATTGACAATATGAGTTGTTATGTAATATAACTGTAACTGAGACTATGAAATGAATGCACAAAACTGATGAACCAACCGACACACTGTACGTACATAAGAGAGTTGATGTTTTAATGTTTTGTTTGTCTTGTTTGTTTGTAGAAAATCAATAAAATTGTTTTCAAAAAAAAAAAGAAAAAAGAAAACCGAGGTGGGGTAGTTACTGACACACACACACACACCATCAGTTTTGGCAAAAACACCCCATAGTGAATGGGTTCACTTAATGACTCCATTCACTTAATGACTGCTGCAAAAAAGGTTGTAAAATCAGGCACAGCCACATGGTGACCCACTCTATGACTGTTAAGAATAAAATTGTGGGTTCAATTACAGTCATTAGTCAAGGACCATCTGTACCATAAATAAAATACAATCTGGCATGTTACACATATGTAAAAGTACACTTTGAGCCTCCTGGTTCATTCAAGCTGTGTGTGTGAGGACACTGTGTAACCCCACATAAACCAATTCTCAACTTCCCTGCAGCACTGCAAGTGGAGGCGTGTGTTTGACCAAAGTGTTAGGGAAGAGCACAAAGGGTACCCTTTTCTTTTAATATCCTTCTTTCCATTCCATTTGCTGCAGGGTGAATGATATATTCCCAGAATACTGCTTTCCTGAAACTACCCATAGCCAAAGGCACCAATCTGCCTTCTTTGCCACTGCCCAGCTTTGCAGTAGAAGTCCAACAAGGAAATAGACTCAAAGTATACAATCAGTCCCTTCCTCATCAAGCCCCTGATCTTCCCCACCCTGTCACTGCTGATGTCACAAGACAACATATGCCACTGGCCTACCCATCCCAGTGATCTTTCCCAAACCTTCCCAGAAACACCAGCAAAATCTCAGTTAAACCAACTTTGTCCAATACTTCCATTTTTGTCTATTGCATGCAATTTGTCCACTAAATTAATGCCCATTAAATCCAGGTTTTAATGTACAATGAAATGTTCATTATCATATACTTGTGTCTTCAGGCTCTAAACTGGGGGGGACCGGGGGGGGACTTCTACCGGTTCGGACCTGTTCAGTAGAACCATTTGCTACGATTCCCGGTAGTTTGGAAATCCGGTAAAAAGGGCCCCTGGCTGACCCCGCCCCTCTCCACCCGCTTCTCTGCTCCCTGCCCAGTCAGTCCTTATCACGCATGTGCAACATCATGCGCATGCACAACAAGCTGATTGCATTCTAACCCCGCCCGCTCCACCCCTCCTTATCCCGGCCATGCGCCACTGCTGCCTGCAGTCTGACTTCACCCGCCCGCCAACCATCGCTGTCTGCCTTCCACCATTATCTGCTTAGGTGAGTGAGGCTCTGCAAGCCCCGGTCACCTACATGCTGCTGCTGCCTCCAGCCCCAGTTGAGTCCCGACTCCTGGGTCAGCCTAGGCTGCCACCACCATGCTACTGCTGCTGTGACCACCGTGCCGCCACCCTCAACACTTGTGGCCTAGCTAGGTGCCCCCCCATCCGTCTGGCTTGCTTAGCCACGGGGGCCACCCATGCGGCTCTCATGGCCTAGCAAGGTTCCCCCCCCACTTGCCTAGCTTGCTTACCCACGGGGGCTGCCCATAAGGCTCTCATGGCCTAGCAAGGTTTCCCCCCAACCATCCCCAGTCTCCAGCTTACTTGGCTTGCTGGTGGCAGAGAGGAAGGTGAGCCAGGGCTGACCCGTCGCCACTCGGGTCCCCACCAGCCTGCATCTTGCCCATCTGGATTCTCCACAGCTGCTTGGCCTTGCCTGCTAGGGGCGGGAGGAGGGGGCAACCAAGGAGCACAATGCTATGGCACCCGGGCCCGCATCGCCCCTTTGCCTGACGCCTCTTCCCTCTGCCGCCCGCCGGCCTGCACGCTTTGGCTGAATGTGGGACGCATTCTGTGAGAATGGTGCAAGTCAAGCCTCACAAGAGCGGATCTTCCTTGGCAGCCCGCACTCGGCTAAAACGTTTGGCCAGGCAAGAGAGGGGCAGTTGGCAGAGGGGCAATGCAGGTAGACACATGCTTCCTGGTTGCCTCATGCATCCCCCCTGGCAGCCGCGAGCCCCAGCAGCTGCGGAGAATCTGAGCAGGGGACTAGATGCGGGCTGGTGGGCAGCCAAGTGGCAACGGCTCTGCCCTGCCTGGCTCAGCTTTCCCTCTGCCACCAGCCACGGGAGGAAGATAAGTTTGCACTTTGCAGGCAGTTGGGATGCCGGTGGGGTGGGCGCTTGAGGGAGGGGAGGGCGAGAGAGAGAGCACCTCTCTCCCAGCAGAGTGAGAAGCTTCCAAGTCCCCCTTCTCATCGGAAACAGCTCCCGGGCAGCAGAGAAGCTGCCCGGTTGAATCCTGCTTCTCTCTGCTGCCCAGGAGCCGTTTGTGACGAGAGGGGGACTTGGAAGCTTTTCAAGATTGAGTTTAAGAGCGTCCCATGGAAGAAGCCGAGAGCAAAAGTAGCGATTGTGAGGGTGACGGGCACGTGACATGTCCCTCCGTGGTCCCCTCCCAGGTGACATCCAGGGCTTTGCCTCCTCTTTTCCTCAGAGGCAGGGTGTCTGCCTCCCTTCACACTCCTTGCAGAGGGACACCCCCTTGCCTTGCTCTCGGCTTCTTCCATGGGGCGCTCTTAAACTCAATCTTGAAGAGCTGGAAGATGTTTCGTTCGATCGCCGCCAATTAACTTGCCTTGCCCAAGACGGCTGCAACAGAAGCAGGAAAAGCGCACCTACTCCGATATCTCTTTTGGAGCCTGGGCGTCACCCTGTAGCTCTCTGCACATGCATGGGAGCTCTCTCTTATGCCTCACTAAGCTGCCCAGGATTGCTTGGATGGTTAGCAGGCAAGCGGGGGGGGGGGGGGGGGGCTGAACCTGCTTGCTTTGTCCGTATGCCAGGTGGGATGGGCAGCGACCTCAGGTGCTGGGTGTTTTCAAAAGGCTGTGCACTGAAAGGTGGGGGACACAGTAGTTGTATAGCCCCCTTAAAGGGGTGAAGAAATAGCCCTCAGGCTAAGGAGAGTTGATTTACAAGTGGAAGTTTCCTTTTTTCTCTCTCTCTTCCCTGCCAAATCTCCGGGTAGAAATAAAAGCTGTTGGGAGTTTTTGAGCTGGAAGATTATTTACAACAGGGGTCCCCAAACTTGGCAACTTTAAGACTTGTGGACTTCAACTCCCAGAATAAAAATTTTACTCCTTTGTTTTCTTGGGAGGGTACTCCCTTTTCAGAGCAGGGATTCCTTTTCTTTCCTTGCCCCTGCCCTGGGATTTCTTTGGCACTTTATCTTTTTCCCTCCTCTGGGCTTTTTAAAAAACTAACCTCCCTCACTCCCCTCTCTCTCACACACACACATGCACAGAGGCTGGATCTTTCTTTCCTCCTGGCCCATACAGGCAACACCCACGCAAATGACTTAAGAGTTGGCCACACCCACCTAGTCATGTGACCAAGTCATGCCCACCCAGTCACATGACCAAGCCACACCCACAAATTAAGTCATGCCCACAGAACCAGTTGTTAAGAAATTTGAATCCCACCCATGGGGGGGAGGAGACACAACATCACAATATATATAAGATCTGCTGAGCTTCCTTATTTGGCCCACAGACTTCCTTTACCAGCAGACCGGCTTACTTAAAAATATATTAATTGGAACTAGTGAGCATGTGTTATACAGAGTACAAATACAAGTATGAACAGTTACATATAACTAGGTATAAATAGGCATATATTTAGATAAATGGGGGAAATGTAATACATGGCTCCTTTTTTTATTTAGTTATACATGCATTCCCATGTATTCCACAGCAAAATGCAACCCTGATTCAAGAGAGTGGTGCTTGACCACTGCCCACTCTTCATAGCAGGCATACAGTCCTCCACATCTGAGTATCAGATATATACATGGCAGATAAACTCATTAATGTTTTATACATTTTCAAAACCCTGTAAATTAGAATGTGAGTGAAACCAAATGACATACAGAAAACATCTCAGCATAAAAGAAAAAAAAGACTTACCTATCCCAATCGTCATCTCCAGTTCTCCTTCTCCAAGACCTTTCTGCACCAGGCTTATGATGATCAAAGTCATCATCTATAAACAGAAGGTATTTAATGATTTGCACAACATGAACCAAATGCTTGGATTCTAAGACAGCAGTACTGATATTATTTTGAGGAATCATGCTGTGTTTCTGCTCTTTCCTTCTAGGAGAACAACTTTTTTTCAAATTGCTTCTAATCTTTTTTTAATAGCAAAGTAAGAGATACTTGTTAAAAAGTTAAATTAATGGAAATGAAGAGTAAATTCTATAGACTGGCATGTGCAACAGAAACAGAATGCAGAACAATCTAACGGAAGACAACAGCAATTATTGTACCCCACTCCCCAGTTAAAAGGGGCATTGGTACTTACTTGATACGCCCGTTCTCTTTGAGCTGCGAAGAGCATCCAGAAGTGGGTGGTGCTTCAGTCTCTGCATTCATAGGCTGAGCTTGATTTTGAGGAACGCTCCTCCTCCTCCACGTGTCTCCTCCACAGCGTTCCCCAGTTTTGCAAAGACGAGAGGAAAAAATCGTGCTCTCATCCTAACTAATGGTTCATTGGCCGAAACAAGACCCCACCAGACGGTGAAATTTGGGTGGGGCTGGATGCTCTTCGCAGCTCAAAGAGAACGGGCGTATCAGGTAAGTACCAACGCCCCTTCTCCTCAGAGCTGCTCAAAGCATCCAGAAGTGGGAAATACCAAAGCTGGGCCTGTCCTACGGGAGGGGCTCCGTCTGGTCTGGAACCACCTCGGGGTCTCTAAAAACCTTCTGTAGAACCCTTCTACCAAAGGAAGCCTCAGCTGAGGCAAACACATCAATCTTGTAGTGCCTGATAAAGGGAGACGGGGATGCCCACGTCGCCGCCCGGCAGATTTCGGTTATTGGTGCCTGAGTGGCCCAAGCTGCCAAAGTCGCCGCACTCCTGATGGAATGAGCAGTGATACCTCTGGGTACCTGCAAGGCCTGCGACTGGTATGATCTAGCAATTGCCGCCCTTATCCAACGGCCTATGGTGGACGGTGATACTTTGTGCCCCTGCGTCTTTGGTTGAAAGAAGAGAAACAAGGCCTCTGATTTTCGGAAAGACTCTGTGCGTTTGATGTAAATTCGCAGAGCGCGTCTCACATCCAGTGTGTGCCATTGTCTTTCCCTTTACTGTGATGGCTTGGGACAGAAATTTGGAAGGATAAGTTCCTGTGCTCTGTGGAAAACCGAATTGACTTTGGGCAAAAAGGTAGGATCAGGCCAGAGAACCACTCGATCAGTGTGAAATACACAGAGGTCTCTTCTAATGGATAGGGCTGCAATTTCCGAAATTCTACGGGCTGATGTGATGGCTACAAGAAAGACTACCTTGTATGTTAGAAACTGGAGAGATGATTCTCTTAAGGGCTTGAAAGGGGGTTTTGTGAGTGAGATAAGGACTCTGTTAAGGTCCCAGGTTGGGTACCGGTGTAGAGTAGGAGGGTGTAAATTGGTGACTCCTCTAAGAAACGCCCGAATACGGGGGTGATGAGAAAGAGAATCAACTCCCTCTCAGGAGATAACCGTTGATAAGGCTGCTACCTGTTGTTTTAATGTGTTAGGAGACAGCCCCTTACTGAGTCCCTCCTGCAGGAAGTCTAAAATTTGGCCAACGGAGGGGGAAGCAGGGTTAATTTGGAGCTTGTCACACCATTTACAAAAGATGGACCATGTGGCATTGTAGATTCGTATAGTTGAGGGCCGTCTGGCTGCTAGTATAGTGTCAATGACCCTGCTAGATAGGTTTTCCCTCTTCAGACGGTCCCGCTCAAACTCCAGACGGTTAATTGGAGCCATTGGGGGTCCGGGTGGAGAAGGGGTCCCTGAGACAGAGAGATCCTGTCTGATGGGATCCTCCAGGGCGGAGCCACCGAGAGACTGCGCAGGTCCGCAAACCAAGGACATCTGGGCCAGTAAGGTGTTACGAGAAGTAGTTCTGCTTTCTCGTGAAGCAACTTCTGGATGACCCTGGGCACCAGCGCTAGGGGAGGGAATGCGTACAGTAACCCCGTGGGCCAAGGGCAACATAACGCGTTGTGGTTCTCCGCCCCTTGGGATGGGAACCTTGAAAAGAACCTCAGGAGCTGGGCATTGAGGGGGGAGGCAAACAGGTCCACTACCGGTTGCCCGAAAATGGATGCCGCCTCTTTGAACAGGGATGGATGGAGGCGCCACTCCAACTGGTCTATGGTAGCCCTGCTCAACCAGTCTGCTTGGATGTTTGATAATCCTGAGATGTGTTCTGCCCTGATGGAAAGGAGGTTGGACTCCGCCCAGCGGCAGAGGCGCTCGGCCTCCCTCATCAATCGAAGTGATTGTGTGCCCCCCTGCTTGTTTATGTGGGCTTTGGCCGTCACATTGTCTGTGAGGATGAGGATGAGGATGTCGTGGCCGCGTACCTGAGGGAGGAAGCTGAGAAGGGCCAGGTGCACGGCGTGAAGTTCCAGCCAGTTTATGTTGCATGATCGCTCTGTCGCTGACCATCTGCCCTGTGATGTGAGGGACCGAACATGAGCGCCCCATCCGAATAGGCTGGCATCTGTGGTGACAGTAAGTCTTTGGGGCTCCTTGAAGAGGTAGCCCTTGTTGATGGACGATTTGCTCCACCAAAGGAGGGACGTGAGGACCCTTGGCGGTACCCTGACCTTGAGTTTTGAGTTGCTTCTGCCGGATCTCTGGTATGGAAGCAAGAACCACTGGAGGGATCTGGTGTGTAGACGGGCCCAGGGAATAATGGAAATACATGAAATCATTTTTCCCAGTAATTGTGATAATTCCAGAAGGGAAGCCCTCCTCACGCGCCTGGTGGTCCTAACGGATTTCTGGATACTGAGGAGTCTATCCGAAGATAGAAACACCTTCCCTTTTTTTTTTTTTTAAAACAAGTTTTATTAATTTTTAAAACACACAAATTATCATTATTCATTACATGTTTAAACCTTTTTTCATTGTCAATTTAACAAGTCAGATAAATTATGATTCTGTTTTAAACCATTTCCATACAACATACCAAAACCTCTTATTCAATTTCTCTTTACTTCTCTTTACTCTTATTCAATATCATTATTATTATTTCATCTGTTTCTTTCTGACTTAGTTACCATTATTCTCATTCTATATTTCTACAAGTTTTAACTAATTCTCCCCCCCAAAAAGACATATACACACAACACACAAAACATAAAAAAAATCTTTTTGGAAAGTAACTTGGACCCAGGTGTCTCTCTCTTCATGGACTTCAATTATATTCATGCTCATCTTACATATCATTACTTATTTTATTTACCATTCTAAGCCTTCTATATTAACTTCCCCACATATTTCACACTTCTTACTTCTATCTTAATTAATCATCTTAGTTTGAATCATTATATTTATATCTTTTGTCCATTTTTTATCATCCCTTTGTCTCATTCCTTATTAAAAAAAAAAGAAAATAAGTTTCTCCTGAAATCATTAATCAGAGTATGATGCCTTTCTATCTCCCCCCTAAGTTAATCAAATTAATCTTTAAAATAATATCTAATACCCAATCCGATTTTGCTTGGTACATTCTAACTAATACATCCAACATAATTAAGTACATAATTAGACAATAAATCCAAATATTAAAAAAAGATACTATAATAAAAATTTTATAATAACATCAGTACCATAGTCTTATTAAACTCTTTAATTAAAACAATATTCTAAACCTCCCCTATTATTAAGTTTTAAAGCCAATCATTTTTAAACATTTTAACATTTTAATCTCTTATCAACTCTTAAACCATTACAATACTACCATCTCATCTTATGTACCTTGCAAAATCTTTTTTTTTAAAAAAAAATTATACTTTATCCATTATCCATAAAAAATTTCTTTTTTTCATTTAATTTCAAAACATTGTAGCTTTTCTCCACCTTTTCCCTTTCTTTCTTCTCCCAACAAACCTTTCTACCCCCCCTTCTTCTAGCCTCTGCCTTACCAGCTTCCCTTCTCTGTCGTATTCCTTTTCCCTTTTGTTTACTATCATCATATTGGTTTTGCACCTTATTTTTCCCTTTCTTAAATGTTTTTTTAGATCTTAAGTCCTTAAGTCCTTTAGTTTTCTTCTTTTATCTTCTTTTCTTTTCTTTCTCTCTTCCTTCTTTCTGGATCAAATTCTGAGATTCATTAAAAATGGCTCCTTCCTTTCTTTCTTGTTCCTCTGCTGTCTTCATCTGTTGTAATGTTTGCTGATAATTAGTAAGCGCCATTTCTAAAAAAAGGAAAGCTTCTTCCACACCATCTTTACCATTTTTTTTTTGCTTGTTCATATTCTTTTCTTAGTTCCTCAACAGAAAGAGCCATTATAAATCTTTTCTTTTCTTTTCCCCTTCTTTCTTCTTACAACAACCAGAATATTCAAAAGAAAATAAAAAAAAATAAAACAGTCCCAAAGTTATCAGTCAGTCCAAACCAAGGCAGAGTTCTCACTTTCTCCTTCTGGGGTAATATCAATCCAAGAGAAAGAAAGTCCAAATCTGTTTAAAATCTTATTACAATATATTCTAGTCTTCAAATCCTTAAGGCATCTGCTCCAACAAAGTCTTAGCATACAAATATTTTCTTTTTAATCCTCTCTCTTCCCACTCATCGCTTAAAACCAATTTTCACCTAAAAAAAATAGGTTTCTTAATATCCAGTTATTTATTCCGTAGGAAAAGAGGGAAAGCTATCCTTTCAGCACCTTCAAACAGCCGCTTTTTTCCTCTTCTGGCAGGTATTATTCAGAAAGTCATACTTTTCAGGAATTTTATTAAATATGTCTTAGAGTCCTAGGAGCCAAGAAAAACTTTCTCCTCTCAATCACTTTCTCCACTTCCTCCTGCGCATTCTTACCCGGCTGCCAGCTTCTTTGTGGCGGCCATTACAGACCGCCGCTGCACCGTCCTGGGAAAAGGGAGTTCTGCCGGCCAGGGAGGGGGTCTGCAACACCCCCAAACCCTTCTCCGGATCCCCCCTACCTTCAGCTGCCCCTGCAGGGCAGCCTAGCTCCG